AACAAAATCTTTTGGAGCCATCCTTCTTTTTACCAAGACCACGTTTGCTTGGAGGGAACCTTCTTGGTCTCTCCTTTATAGGTCTAGCATTTCCTGCGTTAATGCTGTACTTCGCACGAGTGCGACCAATGTCTACATCATTGTTGGAAAAGACATCACTGTAGCAGCTCAGCAATTCTGCTTTTTGTCATGAAACTCTGCTTGGACTTCTTCCATAATCCGCCTGTACAGGTCTAAAAGATACTCCAGGTCTCCTGTTTGTTGAATTGACCCCGGTGTTAGGTCTTTTGAATCTTCTATGTCCCTCTCGTAGATGCTGGTTAGTGAGTCTGCCATCGTGCATTCCTCAACTACAATCACTCGTATTCCCAGATTGAAGACTCGGATTGGAAGAACATCCTCGTCGGTCTTCACCAGCGTGAGATCAACCACCACTCCTCTGCCGGCAACTTCACTTCTATCCACGGGTTGGCACTTCGTACATTTGTCTCCAATTTACTCAGTACTGGTCGGTCTTCTGGTGCAATCCTGTACACTTAAGTAGATGAAAGGAACGTGCTCGTGGCTTCCGTATCAACCAACAGGCTCTCCCGGTGTCTCCGAACAGTCACTAGTACAAATAACCCACTCTATGCACGTGTCATTTGTCCAGTACGGAAGAATATTTTCTTTGTAGGCTCATCATTTATTTGCTGTCTGCTACCTCCACGGTCCTCTGCTCTTTTTGGCCCTCGTTGTTGTCCAACTTCCCTCCAGGCCGCGGGGTCAGCTGTGACCAGTTTTTCGACTTCCTTTTCTTCCCTGGTAAGAGACAACCTCAGCCAAAATGTTCTTTCTGTTTGCAGTTGAAGCAAACATCGTCAGCAGTGGCCTTCCACCTATCGAGGGCGCCGTACAGGTCCTGCTTCTTCTTGAGACTCTTTCTTGAGCCCTTCAATCTGTGCAGTTGTTTTCTCTGGCCACTGCCGTACTTCACACTGATTGTTCTCTACCTCCTGTCTTATTTCTGTTGTGCTTCAATCTTCAGGAATCCCTCGGTGTTGAGTGCAGCCCGAACCTGTTCGTCTAGTGACGCCGGTTGTGCCCGGAATATCCCCTCCCGGACGGCCTGCTTCTGTACTGCATCGACGAAATGACCTTTGGAAAGGCCATAACGCCCTTCATCTGGTAGATCCGGGTAAACGAGTGCCACTCTGGCGACCTTCAGGCGTCTATCCGCCTGTTGTGCTTCAATCTTCAGGAATCCCTCGGTGTTGAGTGCAGNGGTCTAGCATTCCCTGCGTTTATGCTGTGCTTCGCATAGTGAGTGTGACCGATGTCTACGTCATTGTTGGAAAAGATATCACTGTAGCAGCTCAGCAATTCTGCTTTTTGTCATGTAACTCTGCTTGGACTTCTTCTATACTCCGCCTGTACTGGTCAACAAGATACTCCAGGTCTCCTGTTTGTTGAATTGACTCCGGTGTTAGGTCTTTTGAATCTTCTATGTCCCTCTCGTAGATGCTAGTTAATGAGTCTGCCATCGTGCCTTCCTCAGCTACAAACACTCGTTTTCCCGGATTGAAGACTCGGACTGGAAGAACATCCTCGTCGGTTTTCACCAGCGTGAGAGCAACCACAACTCCTCCGCTGGCAGCTTCACTTCTATTCACGGGTTGGTACTTCGTTCATTTGTCTCCATTTTACTCAGTACTGGTCAGTCTTTTGGTGCAATCCTGTACACTTAAGTGGATGAAAGGAACGTGCTCGTGGCTTCCGTATCAACCAACAGGTTCGCCCGGTGTCCCCGAACAGTCACTAGTACAAATAACCCACTCTGCGCACGTGCCATTTGTCCAGTACGGAAGAATCTTTTCTCTATAAGCTCATCATTTATTTGCTGTCTGCTACCTCCACGGTCTTCTCCTCTTTTCGGCCCTCGTTGTTGTCCAACTTCCCTCCAGGCCGCGGGGTCAGCTGTGACCAGTTTTTCGACTTCCTTTTCTTCCCTGGTAAGAGACAACCTTCGCCAAAATGTCCTTTCCGTTTGCACTTAAAGCAAACATCGTCAGCAGTGGCCTTCCACCTATCGCAGGCGCCGTGCAGGTCCTGCTTCTTCTTGAGACTCTTTCTTGAGACCTTCAATCTGTGCAGTCGTTTTCTCTAGCCACTGCCGTACTTCACGCTGATTGTTCTCTACCTCCTGTCTTATTTCTTCCAATGGGATTCGCACGTCGCCCTCCTCTACTCAGGTGAACTTGAGGCGTCTATCCGCTTGTTGTGCTTCAATCTTCAGGAATCCCTCGTTGTTGAGTGCAG